TTGCCTATATAATCCTGGAACTGTGACTAAGTGGTTACTATGAGATTTGGGAATGACCCCTCATAGTCCCAGATTGCAATGAATGTGACTCTTTAATTAGACTTCTTGAGGCGTCCTTTTGAGATTCGCGGGGTACATTCCAACACTACTCAAAGGTCCTGGCCTCTATAAATGCTCTGTAGGTCAATGAGGAGCCACTCACTTCAGCTCTGGTTGCCCAAAATCAGTGGTTGCCATGGTGTGTCTTGACATCACAAAGCCTCAGCTTGACCATCCAGGAGGGGCGGGGGTGAGAGAGGATGCAGAGTTCTTAGATGCTCTGGTTATAGGAAAGAGACCTTCTCTTACCGCCTAAAATTTTTCCCAAACTGACCTCTCTCTCCCTCTCTCATTTCCTGTAGTTCCATTATATTCCAGCATAGGGCAGGGAGGTGGTGTTTCCTCTAAGCCACTTTCCATACTCCCCCGTCATTTCAGTGGTCCATTCCACTATGTTCTGATATTACCAGTTCCTAGTATTTTGAGTGTTGTTTTAATGGATGTTTTATTTTAGAATTGTTTCCGATTTACAGAAAAATTGTGAATGTAACACCCATGTACACCATACCCAATTTCCCTTATTACTAATGTCTCACTTTGTTATGGGGCAAATGTAATATGAAGTGAATCATCAGTGAAAGAGAGTGAAACCTCACTTCTCTAGTATCACCAATATCCAACAAGGCTGTTCTAGACCAAGTTGTTAAAGGAAAAACTGTAATAGTTGTGGCATAAAACTTCACATCTTGAGCTGACCATCCTTTCAATAGTTTAACAATATACCATAGTCTACCATGTAAAAAGGAAATCAAATTCCTTATTATACACTGCCAGCACTAACACAACCACCTGTTCCTCATGACTGTGACCACCACCATCCATCCCACCCCCCAGTCCCAACCTAAATTAAACCTCAGCTTCTTTTCTTCCTTGCCAGTATGAGAAAGTATTGAGGAAAAATTCCCCTCCAGTCTTTTCCTTGTCCTTATTCTAAGTTTCTGGCTCAGTATGGAATGGTTTGTCTAGTGCCCCCATTAAAGAATTCTACATTACTCCATTTTCACATGCCTGCCCCCTTCTTAGATCCCTCCCCATCATCTGAAAACACGCAAAAATACAAACAGATTTTCTTTATACCCTTGTTGGTAGTTATTCAAGGAGACCACTAATGTTTTCATCTTCTCATAATGCCCATTTCTGAAGCATTTTTTATAGAGAGATACACTTTATGAAGTGTGTTCCTCTTGGAGACCCTGGGTATCACCTGTGGTAGATGAACAATCCAGCACTTCTTCTTCTGCATTTGTTGCCTTGCTTCCTGGAGGTTCTTACCTTCCTGTAGTAAAGTACAATTATCTGATTCTTTCTGTCTGTCTCCCTCTTGTCCTCATTCCTTTTAAAGTCCAAATTTACCATAGCCACTATCTTGGTTATGTAGTTTGGAAACGAGTTAAAAACAGAAAGACATTGGTTTTGGGGAAGAAATTGGAAAACCCGTGGCCTGACTCGCGGCGGTGACGCCCATTCTCAGAGATGCAGGCTCGTCCTTCCACCGGCTTCTCAGGGCCGGGCACGAACCTCAGAAACGGATGCTGGGGACAACGGGTAAGTGGG